ATCTGATTCAGTTTAAGGTTCAAGAATGACCCTTGAAAATATGATTTTCTAAATAGGGAATGTGATTCCCAGTTGAAGGGAGAGAAAAATTTTTGAAACTCGCCCCTTATTCCGCAATCTTTGGGCGTCCATGGGATGGATCTCTCATCTCTTCATTAGGACCTCACCGCTCTTCCTCCTGGGAAGCAGACTGTCAGTTGTAAGTGGGTTTATACCGTTAAGTATTTGCCTGATGGTAGTGTTGAGCGCCTGAAAGCACGATTGCAAAGATAGGATCGGTTTGTGTTGTGATCTCTCTTGCAGCTATGTATGGTTGGCCCCTATATCAGCTTGATATCAAAAATGCCTTTTTGCATGGGGATTTGCTCGAGGAGGTCTACATGGAGCAACCACCTGGGTTTGTTGCTCAGGGGGAGGATGGTAAGGTATGCAGACTAAAGAAAGCTATATATGGGCTTAAATAGTCTCCTCGAGCATGGTTTGGTAGGTTCAATGAGGTGGTAAAGAAGTTTGGTATGAAACAGTGCCAAGTTGATCATTCCGTCTTCAATCATGACTCTCCGGCAGGAAAAATACTATTGGTGGTGTATGTAGATGAACATTTTCAGACAAAGGACCTTGGCAAGTTGAAATACTTTTTGGGCATAGAGGTAGCAAGATCTAAGCATGGTATTAATTTGTGTCAGAGGAAATATGTGCTTGATTTGTTAGAAGAAACAGGTTTGTTAGGTGCTAAACCAACTGAGACACCTATGGAAACAAATACTAGGCTGAGCAGTGATATAGGTGAAGTGTTTGAAGACCCTGGCAGATACCGGCAGCTTGTAGGTAAACTGAACTACCTAACCATTACTCGGCCAAACATTTCATTTGCAGTTAGTGTGGTAAGTCAGTTCATGCAGAAACCTCTGGTTCCTCATTGGAATGCAGTTCTAAGAATTGTGAGGTATTTAAAAGGAGCCCCTGGTCGTGGCTTGATATACAAAAGTGGTGGAAAACTTGAAATAAAAGGGTATACTGATGCTGACTGGGCCGGTTCTATATCTGATAGGAGTACCATAGGTTATTGCACTTTTCTGAGGGGTAATCTGGTGACATGGAAAAGAAGCAAACAGTCGTGGCAAGAAGCAGTGCAGAGGTAGAATATAGAGCTATGGCACATACTGCTTGTGAATTAGTGTGGCTAAGGAACCTTCTACAGGAGATAGGATATGACATCAGTACTCTAATGAAGCTCTATTGTGACAATCAGGCTGCAGTTCATATTTCTTCTAATCCGGTGTTTCATGAAAGAACCAAGCACATTGAGGTTGACTATCACTTTGTGAGAGAGAAGGTACTGAATGGAGTGATAGACACTGCATACGTTAATACAGAAAACCAATGGGCAGACTTATTTACAAAAGGGTTGAGTCGGGGAAGAGTGGACTACATATGTAACAAGCTGGGATTATATGATATATATTCACCAGCTTGAGGGGGAGTGTTAGCGTAGGGGTATTTTTGTCTTTATACTTATGTTGAGGTTGCTGATCTGTAATATTATGTTAGAACTAGTGTCCCTTACTTAATAAAGGGCACTTGTGTCTTTTCCATTATATTAATAATATAAAAACATGTCTGGCCAAATGGGAGAGTGATTTTTCCCTAATTCGAACCAGACTTTTCTTCTCTTCTTTTCTCCTCCTCTCTCTCTCCTTCCTTCTTTCTTCCTCTTTCTTCTTGACTGTTAACAGACAAACAGAACTCAAAGGCAGGCCGAATTATAACAAGACCTAAAGACAACTCACTCTCAAAATAAGAGACTATCATGTACCCAAACTTTTTCAAGCAGATCATGTTCATTGGTAATAGCAAAAATATAACACTGTAGCTTCCTAATTACAAAGGTCTAAACAGCTCATACATGGAGTTTTCATATGAAAACTAACAAGCCTTATTACACCATAAGTGTATAACATAGCATACGCATACCTTTCTCTTTAACATCAATCTGCAGAGTATCAAGTGTAATAATTCCATCTGTCAAGGGGAGCAACTCAAGCTTAACAGTAGCAGTGGACCGAGAAGGAACGCATCTGAAACAACAAAATGTGAATTTTCAATGCTTTTTAACCAAAATAACAGTGGCACCGCAACAAGTAGTAGATTATATTACCCCAAAGGAACTGTACTCTGAAACCATAAATGTGTACAGCCTAAACCAGAACTTGGAATGACATCAGAGACAGAAACAGCCTGATCATTAGAGGAAGCAAATCTTCCTCCATCATTAGCACTCTCCTTTCGATTATCAGGTACAAGAGGAGTTGAGCTCAACCTCTGCACACCATTACCACGCCTCTCACCACCCACTCTTCCTGCAAACTCAGAAAAACCAACAAACGGACTCATTGGTGTTGATGGTGCAGAATTCAGGGAGACAACTGTAGGGGGTGAGGTAAATGAAGCTGGAGCAAGAACTGTTAAGGTTAGATCTTCTGATGTTAAATTTGAAGTCTGAAGAGTTAAAACCTGTAAGTATTAGAAATATTCCAGCAGTTAGATTGCAAGTTCAATGTTTGACAAAAGCAGAAGTAAAAAATGCTGAACAAGTCAGGGATGAAACCTGAACCGGAAGCTGAGAAACTCTTCCATCAGGCCTAGAAGTTTGTTCCGACATTTCAGATGCAACGGAGATCATGAGATCCCTTGGGGCACGTGGTCGCCAACTTGTGGGTTTCTTGAAAAACAGCCTTGATTCTGAAATAAAAATAAACAAAACCAAGAAAAAACATATCAATAGAGATACTACTATCCACACTTTTAAGGATTTAGTCAAAAAAGATTACAAGATACCAGTGTAGTTGCATCTACATGACACCAAAACTGCATAGCGATCAGCACTTGAAGAAACTTTCCTTCCTTCACCAAGCTTAAAGGGTAGGTGATTACTTGTTGCTGCACTTCCAGCCTGTAAATGTGATGGCTGAGAATTTCTTCCCCTGTGACCTTTAAGGTTCTTCCACATTGAAGTTGCTGGTTTGAGAATAAAAGAGTGCTCTTCACCTCTCCTGCCATATAAAAATAATAAAAAAAAAAAGAAAATCAGAGTTCAACTAGAACAAGAAGACCAAAGACCATAATCTTTTCAGAAATATGGTATTAGAAGGCTAGAACTATGTTTTTTTTTTTGAAGAATAAAGAGAAATTTCATTAAAAAGAAAAAGAAATACAATATAAAGGTGATAAGGTATCACCTGAAAGCAACACACAGCCAGAGGACCCTAACAGAGACAACAACATCCCATAACAAAACCCAAAAACACACAGACAAAAGACCTAAAGACTCAAAATACCGAACTCAGCCAGAGACAACAAAAGAACCCAGAAAATAAAAAGAAACCCCTTGAACCAAGGCAACCACCAGCTAGACATTGATCCAACAAATCCTAGGCTTGTGAAACAGACAAAGTCATCCACGAATGCATTTTCCTGCCCTGAATCATCCTCGTCCCATTCTTTGCCTCCTAAACAAGCTTTTCTTTTCAACTTCTCATCCCTTTTCCTCCTCTCAAACTCTTCTAAGGTCCTTCTAGAAAGCTCCTCACCACCCAAAAAAATAATAATAATAAACCCAGACTTTTACCAATTGTGTCCTATCTTTCTACTATTTCTGGAGAGGCACGCAACCAGAAGCATCATCCTTATCATCGCCAGTTTGACGACAAATTCTCATCAACATCAGGATCGTCAACACTCACCTTGTCTTCTTGTTGTTTCTCCCCCCAAGTGGGAACCCAATGATTGAGCCTGCATCATTGACCCCTATGATCAATTCCAACTGACCCAATACCTTTCGCACCTTTTCTCCTATAGACCCATTTATAATTCTTTGTAGGGCCTGTTCTGACCAGACCAAGCTTCAGTCTAGAAAAAGTTTTTGTCACATGCATGACATTATGATTTCTTGAACTGCATGTTTAACAGTCACCTCAATAGGTGTCTCCTTCTCCCTCTCCTTGGTTTTGCTTCTTTGACCCAAGTCAACACCCAGCCTTCCAACCTTCACCTCCTTAAAGCAAAAATGGTCGTCGATATGACTCCTCCTTACCACCAACATTTCCGCCACCATCTGTAGTCTCCTTTTCTCCGGTCACATTTTCAGTCTCAGATTTAGCACCGGAATTGGAATGACCTTTCCCATCTTCTTCCAATTCCTCCCCAACATCTCAGACCCCTTGGGGACAACCTCCTCAGTACCCAACAAAGCTGGGATTCCAATTTCATATCCAGATTCTTGAGAAGCCACATCCACCCTTCTAGACTCAGAAGAAAAGCAAATCACCACAGGTTCATTAACAACCTGTGAGAAGCAGCCATCACCACTCTCCACAAATGTAGCCAGATCATCAACGAGACTATCCCCTGTTCCTCCAACCGGCCTCTTCTTGCCACATTTATATTACCTGGCAATCACCAAAACCCATCTCTCACCCCTTCTAGGTTTATGACTGGTGGTTGTGTTTCACACATTAATACTTTCCATGTTCATCTTCATATCATGGTAGAGAAAATGCATGTGTTACAGCTGTGCACCAGCTAGAGGTGGTGGGTTGAGGAGTATTGCCAGAGAATTTCAGCTAGAAAACTTAATCTATTAGGTGAGGTCCTCGAATAGGTTTTTATTCTCTAGCACACCCCTCCACATGAAAGCCCATCAAGCTTGAAGCATAGACAAGTGCAGATCCACCCATACCTAGCGGTGGCAATTGGGCGGGTTGAACCCAACCCATCTAACCCGCCAACCCATTAATGACCCAGTTATATAAAATTAAATGGGTTGGTTCAACCCAAACCCACCTTGACCCAATCCAACCCGCCTAACCCATTAATCTTATATTATGTACTTAAAACTAAAACTAAYTCCCTTTTGACAAATAAGTTGGTCATAGCTTGGTGGTAATAGTAGTTCAAGTGGTGAAGGTTAAAATCACATTACATGCATATTATTTTTACAAGGAGAATAAAAGGCAATTAATCACTTGAAGCCATTTAACTATGTTTGGGTTTCAGGTTTGACCTAACCACTTAGGTTCAAATCGGTCAAACCAACTTGAACTATCTAACTGGGTTTGTCTTCGAGCTAATCACATCAAGAGTGGTTGAACTGTTTGAAATTGGATTGATCCAGTTGGACTAGACCAATTCCAATTGTAGGAAGAATCAGAAGTTTYGGAGAATTACTTTTTTCCTCCTGATCCATTTTTTTTACCTATTTTCATGATTASTAATCATGAACCCTCTATCAACAGAATAAAAGAGTGAATCCCTTCTTTCGTGAAATTAGGAAAATAAAAAAATTTCATGTTCCCTTCTTATCTTACGTACTTTATCAATGAAATGGCGGATTGGCTTGAGCCAGTCCATATCGGGTTGTGCACGGTTTGGGACCAGGTCAAGGCAAGCAAACCAGGCCTATCCAAATTCGGGTCAAGTCGTTTTGCATGAGCTCAAACCAAACCAACTTATCCAAACCGGGTTAGAACAAGAAGCCCAAGCCTATTTGGGTCGATTTGGTCGTGCTAGTCCGGATCTAGGTCGGCCCATCCGTCAATGACTGCTCTACATTCGGGTTGGACAAGATTGGCCCGGTTCAAACTAGACTGACCAACCCAAATGGATCGAATCGGCCTGAACTGATCCAAACTCGAGTCAGGTTGATTTAGATTTATGTCGATTTGGGAGAAGTGTGTTGATTCGAGGCAAAACTAATTCAATAATTCATAGAAAACTAATGCATTAATTGTAAATAATTTTACTCAAATGAAGAAAATTAAAAAAATAGCTAAGGAATTCATACTTGTATCTTTAGTGGTTAACCCAATGGTTATCGACAACCCAACCGGCCCGACCCATTTAAATTGGCCCAATGGATGATCAACCCATTTCCAACCCACCAAGTAAATGGGTGGGTTGGGTGGGTTCAGCGGGTTGGGTGAGAAATTGCCACCCCTACCCATACCTTGTGCTGAAATTTAACTATAATGGGAGTGACGAGGATCGAAAACTAGACCACAACTATTGTCATCCAGGATCTAATGAGCTTATGTGCCACCAAGAGGGACTTTCATGGATTAATCAGTGCTTAGAAAAATGCCTAACCATTAACCGCCACAAAGAAGAGAAAGAGGTGTAAATAACGTCAATAGCATCCTATGTTCTAACACTCCAGAGTCAACAAATCACATTTTTCTACTTTACCATTTCACCTCTCAACTGTTATTGAGTTCCCTTCGCATCTTTAGGCTACAATGGTGCTTTCCGGGAACCATAGTAGCTTTTTTCAATTGCAAGCAGCTCTAGGGATTAAGCAAGAGAGGCAAAGCTATTTGGTGCACAATTCCTTCTGCTTATTTGAAAACCACAGGTCAATAAAGATAACTTTTAGGAAAGCCACAGCCCACAGATACACTAAAATCATGGCTGGTCATGCAAACAAAAGAACTTCAAGGAAGTTCCCCACACTTCATTTTTTTATTATATACCTTGATTATCAATAGAAACTGATGCGCACCTTTTCTTTTTTGGCACTTTTCATGCAACTATCTTTGTGGCATGTTTGATGCACAACTGAACATGCAATAGATGAGAGAAGGGAAAATAAAATTTGAAGGATTTGTAGGGTTAAGAATGTTGGAAGTCAAAACAAAAAAGTTAAACACTCCCCTTGAGGTTAAAGAATTAAGTAGGAATGAGAATATTTGGAAGCAGTATTGCATGGAAATGGACATGGGAGCCTGAATCTGGCATGTGTCAATCTGTCTGACTCAGCGAGACAAGAAAACATGGACTTGCAGACACATATATGAAAAAGTATATACTATTCAAGTAGTTCACATTTTCTTGAATCCTAACATTATATACCTGCAAAAACAGGTCCAAAATGTTGCCTTGGTTACCCAAGTAACGTTTCATACAAAAAAAAATGCATTCATATCAAATAAGCTAGGACATAAAAAGGAAATGTTACATAGAAGTGTCCTCAAGAACCCATGGAGTGCCAGACTACGATGCATGTCCAATGTGGACATGACATCCATTTAGGATAATCCATGCAACACTATTTGGAAGTCAAATTCTCCTTTTTGTTAAAGGTTAATACAAAGCCCCGTTGAACAGAGCCTTGGTGTACATCCATGCTGAATTAAAAATTGTACAAAGCCAAAGAAAAATTACAAGGGCAAACAAAAATTTCATGGTCTGAAATCTCCTTGACATGGTTGAGAAGTTATTTTAGCGCACCATGATTAAGGGCCATTAACCAATGTTGATCCCAGCCGTCCAGGGTCTTGGGAGACCTACCTTTTGGCATTTTTTGAACAAAGTGACTTCCCTCAGATGCAAACCTCCATTCTAACACTTGTCAGCCCAAGATTTTGCCATCACACTAAGCAACGGCTAGTCCACCATTCCCAATGAACCACAATTAAAGAAAGATAAAAAATGCTTGGAAAACACATGACAGATATTGACAATTATCAGTGCAACAACTGAAATGTGAAATCTATATAAAAAACACATGCAACAGGCACTGACCTGAGGGCAAGATTTGGCAAACTGTGATCATTTCCAGCCTCAATACATGCAACTGGTAAGGACAGAGGCATTCCACTTTTTGGAGATTCCTCAAAAATAATTGATATAGCATCCAAAAATATCACAATATCTGGTGTATGTGCTGGAGAAACATTCTGCACAAACAAGATGTTTAATGTTGTTGCCATAAAAAGAATGAAACTACAAAACACTACCAGAAAAACACTTTCAATTAAGATTATCTTGAATCTGTGATAACCCATAAGTGGTACCTTTATCTGAACACAGAGGAGGTCCTCTGTGTTGCAGTCAGCAGTAAAAGAATGGATTTCTACTGGTTGAATAATTTCTAGTTTTCTTCTCCACCTCTTTCCTGGTATATAGATGCCTTCCAATCCACAATGAACAGAAAATCTTTCTGGTTCAAGTGATACACCTCTAAATGACAAAAGGCCCTCACTTCCAGGTTCTTGACTCTTCACAAACCACTGAGGTGGAAAGTGATTCCAGTCTTCTAGGTCAATAGTGGGTTTAGAATTGGAGGTGGTAACTTGAGGATGGGGTGGTGAAGTATTTGGAGGAAGTGAAGACATTGAATAACTTCGAAAGTGACCAAATGAAAATAGTTGGGAGCCAGAAGAAGCAGAAAATGAGGACTTGTAAGATGTGCTGCTAATACTTGAACTGGAACTCAATGAGGGAGGAGATAATGGACGAGCTGGAGGGGGAAGTGTTCTATCCAGGGGAAGCAACCATTTGAGAAGTTCCCCACATGGATCATCCTGATTTGAAAAGAAATTGTCCCCGTCCTTGTAAGATAATTTTTTGTCCCGATATTTCTCAAATTGAAGAACCTCAAGTATGGGATCTTTCAAAAAATCAACTCCAACATTCACTCCTAAAAGCACCTGTGTCCTTCCAAACAAGGAGATAGGATGAGAATAAACAATTATACTGAGAAGTGGTTTTTCAGCACAGCAAGTTAGGAATATAAATCTGAAGAAGACACAATTATATAGCAATAACAACAGAATGCAAAGTGTTAATTGCCAACTGTTTTACAACTAGCACAAAGTCCATTTTCTAAAATAATTTAAGAATGAATTCCACATGATTAAGACTGGTCTAATCTAGGATCTGCCATGGTTTTATCCAAGAAAAATATGCAGATAACATATAAGAAAAAGAATAAAAAAATAAAGGAAAAACAATCAAAACAAGGGATTATCAGTTATCACAGAGATGTGAATCCTCCATCCCCAATTTATAACTCAATCGCTTTAGAGTGAAGATAAAATTAAACTAGACTAAAAGGAATTACAAATAACATGGCAATGAGACATCACCCCCAATAATAACGTGACAACCATATAACCCTCCGCCCAACACAAGTACACCATCAATTGTTTCTCCAACCAGCCAAAGTTAAGAGCTCAGCTCTGATGACACAACACAAAACCCTGGGCTATCAACCAACCCCCACAAGACCAAGACCACCAACTTCCAACCTCAACCAATCAATACCCCCATCTCCAAATGTACCTGATCCCCTGAAATGCCATCAAGTGCTTATTAACTTTCTTCATCCATAGTTCCATCCCTTTTTTCTAGCTACAAAAACACTTTTCTAGCAAACTCTTCCACACCCAAGAAGAACAATCCCAATCTCTTACCAACTTGAACTTCCCTACTAATCACCCATTCACCCTAACCAAGTCTATCTTCCTGTGTACATGTCAATTAGACAATCACCATCTTCCTTGTGTTGATTAGGTGCTTATTCTAAGAGGGTGTTTGGTTCAGTGGGCGTTTATTCAATAAACGCTGCCGCATAGGCACCACTTCAGCAGTTCCCCTCTCATGCTCTTCCGTATGCATCGAGAATGGTAAAAGTGGACTTCGGTTTCTGTGCACGCCTACCGTTTGGGGAAGTTGTTTTTTAAAGCTTCCACAAACGGTTAGGTGTTTTTTCACTGTTACGCTGATGTGGTGCCTAGTGGCACCTAATTGTCATAAACGATTGTAATTATTACCTTTCTCGGTTTTGCAAGCAAATAAAGTACAAACGTTGAATGAAAAAACGTAAACGGAACCAAACACATACTAAATCTTCCCCTAATCTATATTTTTTTTTCGAGTCCCCCTAATCTATAATTTAATCATCCATCCATATTACCCAATACATTTACTAGTAGGTGTGTTTCACTCCATCTAAGATTGTAAGGCCATAAACTCTGTTAAAGCATAAGCCTTTAACTTCAAACATTTTCTCATCAATTGAACCTATGTCCTATAAAGGCTTTCCATTATTCTCTAGGTTTGCCCCAGACCTAATCTTCTCAAGAGCCAAGAGAACAAATAACTACTATTCATTGCCGGTACATACTAAAGAAGACACCAACTTCAAGTACAACCATAAAAGTGTTTTGAAACATACCACTATGTCCCCATTAGAAAGGGAGCAGCACTTAACAGTATTTCTAGCTACACCACCAGATACACTTGCATCAAAGTTTCCTCTATCTATAACTGCATTTAGTTGAGTATCCTTTCTTGATTGTCTGGCCCCTGAATCAATTGCAGTTAACTTTTCCCCAACCATCTCAGATGATTCAGAAGATGATCCTGATGAACTTCTTTTTGACCAAAATGGCTCATCTGATTCTGTGATTCTAACAAAAAAATGCGAGTTTTTAAATCTTTCCAGAAGTGCTTCCGTTCGTCTTTTCTGATCTTCCATTCTGAGAAGAGATTCACTTGCAGAAATATCCCCATGTAGATCAACTTTCTCTGTAGTTAGCAGGGTGTCACCATTTTGTTCTATATTTCGACTATCAGGAGTTGCTTCTCCTTGTTCAGTGATGGAACTGGATTCAGTTCCCATACTGTCATATTTTGGTTTAGTCTTTTGTCCAATTCCTTTTTTACTCATTACTGCAGCAATCCTGAATGGAGTTATAAGCTCTGTATCCTGGTTAGATGTTGATAAGCATGCCAATATATGAATCTGCTCACCTGGTCATGAAAATAGAAGTCAGGCCAAAGTTCTAACTTCTAATTTAACAGATTGGTTGCAACCAACTTCAAGAAAGATACACTACCAGGAAAAACAAAGGAGCGGTCCAAGGAGCGAAGTGTGAGTATATCTGATGAATCACTCCAGTTATCAGGAAGTTCCTCTGCAAGTGCATATCAAGAATTAGAAATGCCATAAAGAAGGAGAAATAACTGTTTGTATATTTATGAACAATCAAGGTACTGATGTTTATGAATTATTTATCAGACTATGTTTATGTGTTTAGGAAAGAAGCAGAGGTGCAAAAGGTCAAATGCTGATAATGGAAACCTCATTGTGAAATAGATGTCAGCTAACCCAGAAATTGAAAAATGTAGAGAGATCTGCTATAGGGTCAAAGTTTTCGTCTACTCTTGATATTGTCAGTGGTGATCAAATGTTGTCAAAATCTTACGATTTATGATACAATTCACGATTTGAATCGTGAATTCCTAAGGGTTTCTATTCGAATCTTATGTTCAAATCCTTTTCTGCAAAAATCTTACGATTTTTGTTTGAATCCTACGTATTTATAAATCTTACGATTTATACGATTCAAATAAATTCAAGTCAGAATTAGTTCTCTACTTTGTTATTTTTTGTTTATATTTAGTTTTGTCAAAGGAGATTTTCTTTTAAGCCCTTACTAGAAAATGATTTATTTATGTTATTTAAGGCTAGAAATTGAGTTTATTTTCCATCATATGTAGGTTAAAGTGCCATTGTATGTGCATTTGTTTGACTTTCAAGTCAAACTTGATTATATCATCTCAGGCTTCTATTGTATAAGTGGTAAATTCTATTATTTTAGGTACGTATATGATATATATAGATTAAAAATAGGGTAAAGTCACTTTCCTATATATATTTAGCCTTTTAATATATCTATATTTAATTTTTTGACAAGTTTATAAAAAATAGAAATAACCTTATGATTTACGATACGATTCACAATTCGATTCAATTCAACTTTCTCTACGATTTATGATATGATTACAATTTTCAAAACATTTATAGTGGATTGTCTTTCTCTTTGTTCTTTTTTCTTCTTTTTGATGTATCTTTGTATTTGGGTTGGGAGTGTTACCATAAACTCTTACAATTTTCTGAATCCGGATGAGCTGGAGACAACATCATACACACCAGGCTGAGCCCTATCACAGTTGAACACACCAGTGTTCAGTACAGATGGGCCCCACAGTGAGCACTGGCGTATTCACTCGTGATAGGCAGCCCAGCCTGGTGTGTATGATGTTGTCTTCAGCTAATCCACTCCCCAATTTTCTGTATGAATTCCTTTGTTTTTTCACTATAACAGATGTGATGAGGAAGATCCTAAGCAAGTGCACATCAAGAATTAGAAATAGCACAAGAAAAAGCATCAGAATGTTTATTTTGTGAATAATTTAATACTGATTTTTATAAATTATTTAGCACACTAAGTTTACATGTTGAGGGGGAAATTTGGGTTTGCAAGAGGTTGTTGATATTAGAAATGTTAATGTGATTATGTGCTAGCTCATCTGGAACTTGAAGCTGCAGATAAATCAACATTGGGTCAAATTTTCAGTCTGTTCTCATATTTTCAATGATGATGTGTAGTGGATTTTCCTCATTAGTTTTTCATTTTTCTTCTCTTTGATAAATTTATACATGTACTTAGGTTGGGAATGTTATCTCAACACTCTTGATGTTATGTGCACTTTCCCTTCTAATGAAATTCCTTTTCTTTTTACACTATCAAACAAACTGTTGGGGAATTTAGACTTTTAGAGTAACCATCACCTATAAAGAATTCAGATAAGTGAACAAAATCATGAGAAAATAATAGATACAAGAACAAAATATTGGGCATTTAAAAGATCTTCTCCAACAAAATTAACTGGTTGACACTACCATTTAATTATGAATTGAAATCCAAACACTCCATCTAAAACACTGGATAAGAGATACTGTTAATAATATTTCCATGCAAACCACGACAACAACAACATGCAAGGGAGGGGGGAGACCCCATGCTGATATAAAGACATTTTGATTGTAGTAAAAATCTGAAAGATGAAAGCTGATGCATTATGGGAAATATCGCCAGATGCATTATGCAAAATATCCTAATGAATTGAGATGAAATTTGTTGACTTGAGGAAAAAAAGAACACTGGAAACGGCCAAATCTCTAAAACTTGAGATGTGTGGTCTCACTCTAAAACATAATTTAGTAGTCAATTCAAATTATATGGCTGAAAAATAAATTAAGGGAGAATAAAAACGAAATTTAAAAAAAAAAAATTGAATTTTGGTCTCATATGAATTTTAAATTTGTTATCCTATTACTCTTTCCTTTCTGCACTAGTTTTAAATAAAAGTAATATAAATGCATCACCTTACAGATGTTTTTTACATATTTTCACCGGATTAACAAATTAATACTCAGATCTACCAGAAAAAAAATGCCAAAAATAGGAAAAGCCCGGTTAAATGAACGAGATTGTTTCCATCCAATCTCAAGATTGTAAGGAAAGATAACAAAAAGGTACTTAATGACATTATGAGAACCAGAAAACACAAAACAATAAAAAGATGGCATAAAAAATAAGCATTTGGGTCAGCATGAAGTGATGTAGTAAATACTATATGGAATGGTAATCCATCCTTCATCTTCAGTAACAACAGAGTAGTTCTCAACGATAGGAAATTGAAGGTTTGCACTTTGTCCCACAACAGTGCTGCTTCCAGCTCCAACCCCATCACTCTCTTTACCACCATCTACACTTATGGATGATTGCGGAAATGGATCTTCAGCAATAAGGCCCTCTAAGGTCATTGCCGATTTCAAGGCAGAATTTGGATGCAAGGGGGGTTCATTAACAGCTGGCTGGTCCGAAACCACAGGTTGTGCAGTTCGCATTAAAAAGTTCATTGTTCCTCTCAAGTTATCTGCAAGGTAACAGTGAAATTTTATTATTTTGACAAGGAAAATTGCAACTCTTCTTGATGTGCTCAGAAAGTTGCCTTCAAGTGGTTTAAACATGTAAACAGTGCATATGTATATGTATGTACGTGCGTGTATGAAAAAAAAAAAAAAGTAGGAGCATCAACAAATTACACTGGAGAAAGTGTTAAAGCCTTTTCTTCCTAATCTTAACGGATTTTATACTGGAGAAAATTGCTTTAACAAACAATGATAGCAGCCAACTTTGGTGGCTGAACTACTCCCCGGTTGTTTGACTCGTAGTGGCCATATGCATATCACTTGTATTGTATTATTGTTCACTGAAAGCTTCTATTTTCAGTCGCTAACGGACAGAACTCTTTAGGATCATCACCCGATTATTAACTCCAATTTTCTACATTCTTCTTTATATCCATCCATCTATGTGGTTGTGGTGAAGCCTAGCAATAATGTCAAGTTGATATTAATGAAGCAAAAACCGATGAATTTTACCCTGACTCCATAAGAGACGTAGGGCTCACTTATTTAATATACTTAGCTACCACCACGAGGTAATGGTTTCAGTCCCAGCTTACAACCTCACTATTCACAGTCGCTCAGAACAGAATTCTCCTCCCCCCCCCCCCCCAAAAAAAAAAAAGGATCAGACACAGTGAAACAACCCAGACTCGATTATATAGTTCTATCATCCAACACAAGCCCATTCACGTTATGAAAACTTTCAGTGTATCGAAATTCCTCTCGACAAGCAAATCCTAAAATGTCATGACAATGAATAAACCGCACATTTATAAATCCGTCACAGACTTGAATGAAACAATTCAAAACACAAGTACCCTACCAAATGGGAAACCCTAACTCGTCCGAACAACCCGACTTTGCGACGATTCCAGCTAGAGCAACAGAATCTTGCCTAAATCAAATCGATCGCGACCACGGAAGGGGAGATCTGACATCAACAAGCGCACCTCTCTCGATCTGGTAGGTTAGGGTTTCAACCGAATTTCAACGTTGAAAAAACCTGGATATGGATACGGATAGAAGATCAGAAGACAATTGACCCAGCGAGAGAAGGGAGTTCAGTCCACTTTCCTCCGTCCCTCCTTATCTGCTATACTCCCCGTTTTGTGTAGTGTTCTTCTGCTTTATATCAAAACCAACTACTAACAGTTGAAAGTGGAAACGAGTCCCGCTGTGTCTCCGCTGAATTACTTTATATTTTTGTTTTATTAATTAGTAAATAAAAACATACTTTGTTTTTCGCTAACTAAATAAAGTTCATACTTTAATAAATCTAATCACTTGTTGGGTTATGTTTGGTTTAAAGGAAAAAGTAGGGAAAAACCCATACAAAGTTTGTAAGGCTCCATTTGGTTTATAGGATGGTTTATAGGATGGGGATGAGATGAGAAAAATGTGGGATGTCAAATCTCAAAATCATGGAATTGAGGTCGCATCAAAACAGTGTGATTCCGATGCAAAAACTAGAGAACCCGTTATTACTACATACCATTGTCGATGAACAGAGGAGGGATGGGCCGAGAAAAATGAACCAGCGACAACGAACATAGGAGGTGAGAAATAGTGTGACTCTGTCTTCCTCCCTTTCTCCCTTTCTTAGTGATCTCTCATCTCCCTCACTTTTCTCAGCAATCTCTCGTCTTCCTCACCTGCTTCTTCCTATTCTTCTCGTCTTCCCATTCCTATCTCTCTCTCATTCCCTCATTTTCCCCCCCTCTCTCTCTCTCTCTCTCTCTGATCGTCACTTCTTTCTCAACCCTACTTGCTTTATTTCAGATCCCAAGTTCATCCTTTGTTACAAAGAAAGTGCGAAGAAGGGGGGACCACTACGCGATGGTTGATTAAGCATCGACAGAGGAGGGGGGACTATCGGTGTTGGAGGACCTCTTCAGAGCTTCAATCATGGAGTTCTCTGTCTCTCCCTCCATCTTCCTCTTCTCTCTTCTTCCTCACATTTTTCTCTCTTCTCCCTCGTAACAGTGTTTTCCTATTATTTTCCCATATATAAAATCAAACAATGGAAAGGTAAACTTTTACACTTTCCTATCCCATCCCATCCCACCCAAATCTTTCCACAAACTAAACGGAGCCTAAAGGTTTCCCTACCTTTCCCTTTCTTTTCCTACTTTTTCCTTTAAACCAAACATAGCCTTAGGGACAAGTACACTGTACTAATGGTAGCCCCCTCCTAATCTACTAGTAGTCTCCCTATAAACCGCATCGTGCCCATGAATTTGGCATCAATCCATGGGTAGGATTCAGTCCACCTAGAAATCCTAACTCCACCCTAGGGGTGGATTGAACTATAAAAACCCCTATCATTTATTGGAGCTATTTCTCACTTTCTTTGACTTCATTTATGCTGACCTATCATATCTAATTTTACCACTTATCTATATGACAATACACATTTTTTGCCACATTTTTCGGATATGGTGTCTCATGTTTCTTGGTTATCTAATGCTTCATATAGCATAGTTGACCTTATAACTGTTTTATAGAATTGGATAAATTATTAATGCTATTAAGTTGGGCAAGTTGAGAAATAGCTAAATCTCGTGATCTAAGTAGTTAAAAGGCCATGGTGTAGATTCATGAGAGGAACACTCCAATATTAAGGGCCTATTCATTTCCTCATAATTCTTGTCTCTTAAGATGAATCTTATAACTTTAAAAGGAAAATGGGTGTTCATTTTCTCTAATCTTTCATATCTCAAAGTAGAATCTTACGATCTTTTGTTTTTTAATAATACCCTAAAAATACAAGCAAAAGTTCTCATATGGAGTTAAAATGGACATTTGACAATTTTTAGACTTCATAGCAACATTCTCAATACTCAGAGTTTAGAGGAAAGAAAAGTTCACCAATACCAATATACCTTTTAATATAATTGTTGCACTTTCAGATATCAGACGCTAAAACAAACAAACAAAGCCCTAAGTTAGTAAAAATGAGGTGATAATCAACTAGGCCGAGTTGTGGTAGATGGGTTGAGCTAGTTAAAGAGTGTGTGTATTACCTTGAGTTGTGTGCCTTTAAATTGGCATCCGAAGAGCCGTTGAACCTCCCATTCGTGAGATGCATATCATCATCTCAGATAACCGACCCCTAACTGAGTTATTCCTCAATGTGGCATGTACACCCTATAGTGGGCCGAGGCACGTCCTTCCGATCTGTTACACCAGCTATGATTGCCGAAACAAAGCTAGCATTTTCTTTTGAGGGGAGCCAAAAAGTAATAAACATGGATAGAGTAGCCAAAAACTAGTAAATATGGGAGGGGGGATGCCACCCCTATTTGGTTGTTAGTCCAACTTTCACTGTGTTCCCACCACTCCAAAGACACATGGTATTTCCTCAATCCTGACTCGCTGGTCACACACACGCAAGCTTTGGAGATGACACATCATGAGTTCTCGGATGGCTTGGGCTCTTTGCTTTGGCCACATAATATCAATGCTCGGTTCAGCCATGTGATTGTTCTTAGTTCATCCGCGTGGTGGTCCTCGTCAGACCCCGGTTGGCCACATCAATTACAAACACCCAAGGAGTTTCAGTCCCTTGGATTAAGGCCCTATTCGGTGCCTCTAGTCTCTTGATGCTGAAGTGGTTTCATACCACTTTTAGCGCTAAAGAGGCATCCGATGGCTCTTACACTCAAGTCCAATGATGGCTGAAGTACAAATGAGTCGGGTCACCATTTTAATGAATTTTTCCCACATTGCCCCTCTAATGCTCATATGAAGACCCACCGGACCCACCACCGATCTCTCATTTCCTCCATATTATTATTATAATATTATAATATTCATATAATACTAATATAATAATAATTAATTAGCTACATTATTAATTATCATCTTATAGTGCTATTAATAATTATTTATACTAAGCAATATATTAATTAAAAAAGTAACACTTAATTAATTATATTAAATAGTATTATAAATTATGAACAGTAATAATAATAATAATAAATTATTAATATTAATATAATATTATAATATCATCATGTAATATTACTAACATTATAATATTATATTATATTATAAATTAATTATTAATATTATAATATTCATTATACTATGTTTTAGTAATATTCTAATAGAAATTAATTAATTACAATATTAATTACCATCGTACAGTTTCATTAATTAATAATAATAATAATAATAATTCCTTAATTAATTATTATTACTTATTATTAAATAATTAATTACTTTTAATTTTTATTATTAATTATTAACAACTATAAATATTTCACAAATAAATCTTTGTTCTCTTTAAAGAAGAAATAAAATGACTCACCATGGTGGAAGAAGGTAGTGAACATCTTGGATCAGATCAAAGGCAACCTCATTTGGCAAGTCAAAGATGGCCAGTCAGTGCACATTTCAGACCCGTGAATCCCCACATTCAATGTAGGCTGTCCAGAATTCAAGGATTTTGTTTCTTCTAGTCTCTTGAATGTATCTACAAACGATCTGATTGGCAAGAATGAAAGCTGGGATCAAAGGAAACAACTCCAACTCTTTACAGATAGATGTATTGCTCATATTAACCAAATTTTCTTATCCCTCCAACTCCAACATGACACTTTGTTATGGAAAAAATCTAAGAAGGCAAAATATTGATTTCAAATCAGGGTATAGAGTCTTCTCATAGAATAACCCCTCTTCATGGAGCTCTCAAGTGAATTGGAATGTTATTTGGAAAGCTAAAATCCCTCTAAGGTTTCAAGTTTTCATGTGGAAGTCTTGGTGGCATGGTATTTGCACCAGAGGCCGGTTCATTTTCTTACCAAAGGAAGATAGGAAACGTGTGATGTAAAACGAAGAGATTGAATCCTGGCAACATGTATTTTTCTCATGCCATTATGCAAGAGTAGTTTGGTTCTCGGCCAAGTAGGGATTAACCTTGTTAATATAATAAACAATAATCTGGCTAACTTTGTAAATCAATGGATTTCATCACAACTAGCTGACTTACCTAAAGAGGAGAAAAATATTTCCATTGGTAAATTCTTTATAATATTCAGATTAATCTGGGATATGAGGAATACCAGATTACATAATCAACAAGTTTGGAATCCGAATCAAGTACTTGAACTAGCAATGCAGTTCATGGATGTATCTCCGGGTCCTAAGAGAATTGTTGATCCAGGATTAAGTAGGTAATCTCCTCTCACTAAACACAACTCCTTCACAATGTTCATGGATGGATCTTTTATTCCTAACTTAGGCGTTGCAGGAACTGGATATGTTATTCACAACGACAACGACAACGATCATCTGATGTTTTCTGGCAGGAGGAGACTTTGTGCAAATGGAAGCGCTGAAGTGGAGAGTGGTGGGCATTATTAGATGGCCTGAAGAAAGCAAAGGAGCTGCAAATCTCATCTATTAGATGCTAAGGGCACTATAAATAGTATGTTAGAAGACAGTGATGTAGAATGGTCAATCAAAGCTTTGAAGGACCAAGTAAAGTGGCTACTACAGTCTTTTGTGTCTATAAATTAAATATAAAGTATATAAGTAGACAATACAATACAGCTGCTCATGATCCGGCAAACAATGCTAGTAAGTATAATATAGAAGTATGTAAAGAAAGCAGCTGCGGTGAACCTGAACCTTGTATCTTCCGTTCTATTATATAATAATATTTGCCCTTGGCTTTTTTGCGTAAAAAGTGATATATGATTTTTTTTTTTTTTAGATTGTGTCTTGCAAATGTGTTTAAAGTATTTAAGAGATAGGTATCAACATACTCATTATGTGCTTAACAGTTCTCGTCTAGGAAATAGCTTAGGAATTGAATGGTTTTGAGGATGTGAAGTTTAAACTTTAAGTATATACAAGAGAATTAGTTAAACAGTTAAACCTCCTCTCCACTTTGACATTTGCAAATTTCTCCCTTAACATTTTGGAGAAATTATATATCCGTTAATTTGTTGTTAGAAAACTAACTAAAAATGATGATGTCATGCATTTAATTGCTTTAAAATTCTTAGTTTATCCATAAATGATGATATTGGAGTGTCTATTGACCAAAATATTCTCCCAACAAGGCTCTTTTACATATTTCAATAGTAAATTTTTATTTTAATGAACAAAAGGCTCATCTTTATTGAAATATAAATTTATTATTGAAATGTGTAAGAAGTCTTTTTCGGGTATTCTGGTTAATAAACACTCCAACATTGCCATTTATGAGAAAATTGGGGATTTTAAAATATTTAAAAGCATGGCATCAAACATAGTTTTGATGGAAGTAGAAGGATGATGAAGGTTAAGGGTTATTAAAAGGAAACAGGGGGGAAAAAGAAGGCATAGGGATACTTGTAAAAACAAGGTTAGCATGGGCTAAGAGCATCTTCGACTCCCTCGTGAGTGTTCTACCATGATAATACCACTGAGGAAATTAAGGAATTATAGAAAAAATCTTTAAGGAGTTGTTTAGCTTCCATTAACTCCAGTCCAATCTTCAAGGTGTTGTTTAGTTTCCTTAAACTTCCATTAGCTTCTGTTCAGCCAAATCGTTGGACTTTCCAATTGTTCTCTTTCGCTAGGGTGCTACTGTTTTAACCTAATAAGTATAGGAATTCCGGTTTTATGGGTTAGTAGGACCAATTTTGAATCTTCAGCTTGGTTTTATTTAAATTACCATAATCTTTGCCTAACAATGAAAACATTTTATCATGATATTCATGGTTATTTATGTAATAGCTACATTATTGATACTGGTTAATTAATGATGATTTAAAACTACATAAATGAAGTTGACATCGAGAAAAAAAAGGGTAGAATTAAGATTTAATTATATTTGATGATACCATAATCTTTCATATACATCCTTTTTGCAGTTAAAAGGATGTATAATTAATGTGAAAAACCAAATGCAGCCTTAGTCACCTATCCTAACCCAACCATCATCACTCAATATAAATATATATATATATATATATATATATATATATATATATATATATATAGGGTTTTACTATGATATGAAAAAGATATGATATTCGAAAAACAATTAACCAATAAACTGGAATCATAGATGTGATAACAAATTAGATGTTATTTATCAAAATTCATAGATGAATTTTGATTGGTCAAAATTCTTTTCATATCATATCTTTCTCGTATCATAGATTTGCCCATATATAAAATCTAGAATTGCAAAATTCTATAAAGTCTGAACACAAATTCTCTAATTTTAGAACATGACAATGGATTCATTAGAAATATATTTAAAAAGTAAGAATAGCCACTTAGTTGATATTTCTTTATTCGGTTAATTACCGTAGAATTAAGAATTTCAGACGCATATACGTACTGGTTCCTTGTCCATGCAACTTCATGGAACTCAATTCAACTCATACTACATAGTTTACTTGTAATATTGACTGCAAACTTATTAAACTTAAAATCCTCCACCAATTCCTCCACCGGAACCACCGCCAAAGCCACCTCCAGCTCCTCCACCAATGCCATCGCCAGCACCACCACCTGCTCCCCCACCAGCACCACCGCCAAAGCCACCACCAGCTCCTCCACCAATGCCACCGCCAGCACCACCACCAGCTCCGCCACCAAATCCTCCACCTGAACCACCTCCGATGCCACCACCAGCACCACCACCGGCGCCACCACCACCGCCATATCCACCACCTTTCCCAAATCCTCCACCAACGCCGCCACCAGCACCAGAGCCACCACCAAATCCACCCCCAGCTCCTCCACCACCACCAGCTCCGCCACCAAATCCTCCTCCTGCACCTCCACCTGAACCACCTCCGATGCCACCACCAGCACCAGAGCCACCACCAAATCCTCCCCCAGCTCCTCCACCACCTCCAAGGCCTCCTCCAGCGCCGCCGCCAGCACCGCCTCCGAATCCACCACCTTTACCAAACCCTCCACCAACGCCGCCACCAGCACCAGAGCCACCACCAAATCCTCCCCCAGCTCCTCCACCACCTCCAAGGCCCCCGCCAGCACCACCACCAAAGCCTCCACCAGCGCCTAATCCACCTCCAAGCCCTCCTCCTCCGCCAGCACCACCACCTAGGCCACCAGCAAGAGCCTTTCTCTCGACTCTGCGTCCTTCTGCTATCCCAACCATTATCAACACCATAAGCAACGTTGCACCAAACACTGCAGCATTCTTGAAAAGTTTCGCCATCTTTCTATCAAACGAGAAGTGGTGAATCAAAAAAGAGCAATGCTGCAGGATCGCTCGATGGTTTAGAGGATTGATGGAGAGGTTTATTTATAGTGTAATAGCTAGAGATAGAGATTAGAGAAGAGTAATGAATTAATGCATGTAGTTGAGACTCTCCTTTTCTCTAATCCACATGATACAGTAGTAATTAATTATCGTGTATATATATGCAAGGCCAGAAGACAGAAGCTGCAAAAGTCTATTCGGTTTGACTGGGACTCTTGTAGTTGTAGGCACTAGGCAGGGCACACCCCATTATTTCATTGTCCCAACTCTCAACTAACCTCCCACCCCACCCCACAAATCCACCATGAAAATTAAATAACACTACTGCTGATTAATGAGTAATCATAATCACCGTCACTATTCACCAACTTACATAGCCAAACAGTTTCAACTTTCTTGCAATCAGTGAATGCCACCTATATTAGCACATATACCACTGTTATTTGAGGCTGTTTATCCCACCTTAAAAATTGCATCTGGCGGAGGCTGTTTGTACAAAAATCAAAAATTAAAACTGATGGAAGTCCAGTCATTCTAGAAGTGGCTCTCATGCATATTAAATGACTCATCAATCCCAAACCCAATAACGTTTCAGGTAGAGACTGCAATAATACCAAATACAACGCTAGCTAGGTTTTAATTGCTGATTTTAACTTGTGGCTTTCTGCAATTACAAGTTATTATGACTGGATAACAGCCAAACTCTTATTGTCGACCATTAACACCACAGCTAGCAATGTGTTGGCATGTCATGTCTTCCTCCTGCACAACTGACCCATCATCTGTGTCTATGAAAAAGATGTGTAATTAACTATTAAGTCATGGAATTAATGCATATAGTTAAGACATGAAGGAAATTTATTGGAATTGAAGTTTACTCGTTATAGTTTTGAATTTTCTAATATTATTAGTAATTAGGTACGTGCGTGAGATTTTTTTGATATTAATTACTAGAGAACTGAAATATCAGAGTTAGCATACAAATTGAAAAATAATTAAAGTAATAATATGATTAAAAATAAATTTAAATACTTGTATTAAATATATAATTTTTTTTATTTCATATGATGAGTATAACATTAGAAATGTTTTGAAATGTTTTTGACAAAACTTTGTACTTTTTTTTTTAATTTTTGTGTTCTATTTTTTTAAATACTTATTATTCAATTATGACATCATGAATTTCTTTGAAAAGTTGGATCAATGACCCGCCACTTAGATAACAAAATAGCTTTGCTTTCAGATCAGTTTTAAACTATATATTTAATCAACATTATATAAATAATTTTTACTTATCACACTTATTTTTTGTTTGACATAATTAATATATAATTTTTTTATATATTCTTTTGATTATATTATATCTTATGTATAATATTTATTTTTGTGATTCTTTGTATTTTCTATTTTTTTTTTTAATTTTATCATCATTTCTAGGTTGATTTTTATTTTGGCATTCCATTTTCATCATTTATAAAAATACTTCTTACATTTCATACTTATTTTTGTTTAGTATAATGAATATACAATATTAGTGACGTGCCTAGTTCTTTTTATTATTTTGTATTATATATTTTATATATTTTAATTTTTTATTATTTAATATGACATTATTTATTAACACATTTGACCCTAAATGGTTGAATTGCATACCCACCACCGAGAGTGAAGAAAATGGTTTTGTTTTCAAATTACGTTTTAAAATATTTATTTTTATATTATAAAAATTAATGTTGTGGATTTAATTAGTAGAATTTCATGATGAGAAAAATATATCTTAAATATAGGATTTAATAAGAGAATATACCTTAAATATGAGATTTAATGAGAGATAATAGGAAAATAGTTTTACTTCCAAATTCCAATTGGTTTTAAATTTTACATTCCATTTCTATCATTAATAAAAGCTTTTCTTTTTTATCATCAATGTTTTTAACCTGTTGTTGACTTGGCTGATTGATCCGTTCAAACCGTTATTCGGCCTTGATTCTGTGTTTAGTTCTATTGAAATTCCCCCTTTGAGTTAAAAGTTGTCTAACTCAGGTGGTTCAACCATTGACCCATTCGACCAAGTAAGCAGGTTGTAGGTTGTGCACTTTAATTATGTGGAAACTTTTGAAAGCCATAACTTTTCATTTTTCAAGATCTATACGCTCCAAGGGCCTTAGGCGCCTTGCCTTGCAATTTTTGCAAAAAAACCCTTTTTTTTTGCCCCAAATTGCAATTTTTAATATTTTTATAAATAAAAAATTAAAACTCAATTAAAAACATAAATAAATGTAACATAATACATATATTATATGTAATTAATATGTGTAAAATATAATTATACTATTTATTGATAAAATATATATTTTTACACACAAAGCGGTTTGACTCATTTGACCTTGATAGTCGAACCATTAACCTATGACCTGAAAGCAAAAACGGGTTGGCCTCCAGGTTGGTTTTTAAAACATTGTTTATCATACTTATTATTGTTTAATATGTCAAATATATGATGCTAAAACATTGGATTTAATGTGAGAGAATTGAATACATTAAATATCCTAAAACTACCTCTTTTCAACTCATTTAATATCAATAACAAATTATCCTATTTGCCCTCATTTTTATCAACAAATTTAATTATAAAGAAGTAAATTTTGTCCTAAAAAAATTCCAAAAATATTCTTGAGGTATATATATATATATATATAGCAAAGCGGTCCATGTCACCATGCCTCTCCTTGCTCCAAACCCCCCATGCTGCTCTCTCCTTCTCCATTCTTAGCCTTCTATTATGCCAAGTCACCAATGCTTTTAGCCTCTCCCACTAGGCCACATCATCTCTTTTCTCAAGAATTTGAATCTTAATATAACTCTTCACCAAATCGTGCTTATCAAATAACTTTGCCACCCTCTCCTTTTTATTAGGAAAGTAGCCAAAAAATTAGGAATCTATTTCATATGGGACTCTTTTTTCCAAACTCACATTCATAATACTATTCGAGACATATACACGGATTAAACCTAAACAACTATCAACCTTAAATCTAAAAGAATAAAATAAAAAAATAAAACAAAATAGAGAGTAAATGAATAGCAATCTAACATACGGAGATGCATATAGATATAACCACACATGATAGCAGACGATAAACTAAACTCCAGGTCAGGTTTGGTTGGGGAACCGACCTACGGAAACGAGTCCAATAGAATCTGCTCCATCGGTCTGAAATGTAATTAAAATCGTTTCACGACATCATAAAAATAAGTTGTCCTGATGCAAAATGGATAATCGACGTAAATCAGCCAAAGCCCACGATGCGAGGTTCGAAATTTCTATAATATGGAAATGCACGTTAAGCCATGATGCAAGACGGAAAATCCACTATATGTCGGGAAATCAACAAAAAGTCGTGATATGCCATGATGCAATGTTTAAACAACCATAATATGAAAAAGCATGTTAAATCATGATGTAAGACGGAAAAAATCCACTGTATGGTGGGAAATCAGCAAAAAGTCAATATATGCCACAATGTGATCTGATCTTCAGATAATGATAATATGGAAAAGCACGCTAAGCCGTGACGCAAGATGAAAAATCCACTATATGCCAAAAAATCAACAAAAAGTCATGATATACCACGATGCAGTGTTAAAATAATCATAATATGGAAAAGAACGTGCCTGTTAGGCAATTCTTCTCTAGAAGATCTGTTACAAGATTTGATGGTTAAAAGACAGGGTGAGCTTTTGCAAAAAAATCTTGGAAGACCAAAGACTGTTTAGTTGAAATATTTTACATAGATCTCACAAAAAGACCATAAAAGCTAGAAGACCGTTTGGTAATGTGAATGTCTTTTGTATGGGCCAACAAACCTTTCATTTAACATTTGGGACCCACATACCATTGGTGGACATGTATTTGGGGCCCACGTACATTTTACAAGGTAGCCCTAACATACCATTGGTAGACATGCATGTTGGAACCATGTGTCAACGTGTATGTGGGGCCTACGTACATTTTACAAGGTGGGCCCAACATACCATTGGTGGCCATGCATGTGGGGTCCATGTGTAGACATGTATGTGGGGCCCACATACATTTAGAAGGTGGGCCCCACATGCCATTGGTGGACATGCATGTGAGTCCATGTGTGGAATGTATGTGGGATCCACATATATTTTTCAAGGTGGGGCCCACATACCATTGGTGGACATGCATGTAGGGTCCATGTGTGGACATGTATGTGGGGCCCATATACATTTTACAAGGTGGGCCCCACATGCCATTGGTGGATATGCATGTGGGTCCATCTGTGGAATGTATGTGGGGCCCAAATGCATTTTACAAGGTGGGCCCCACATGCCATTGGTGGATATGCATGTGGGTCCATGTGTGGACATGTATGTGGGCCCCACATACATTTTACAAGGTGGGTGCCACAATACCTAATATGGGCCCCACATACCATTGGTAGGTTCCACTTACACATTCAAATACTTTTGTGGAAAGATAACCCATTTTCTTCCAAGCGTGTGCATCATACCAAATTCGGGCTTTTGGCATCTTTTGTGGGCTGGAGCTTTTCCTGAATAGATCTTTCAATTGTCAAATGGGAAAAGCCCTGAATTCAGGCTTTCAGGCTTCTAAACAGCCAGAAGCCCGCGCGAAAAGTCTTGCCAAATGCAGCCAACGTTAAGCCATGATGCAAGACGGGAAAATCCATTATATGTTAGAAAATTAGCAAAAAGTCCTGATATGCCATGATGCAACGTTCAAATAATCAAAATAATGGAAAAGCACGTTAAGCCGTGATGCAAGACGAAAAATCCACTGTATGCCGGAAAATCAGCAAAGAACCATAATTTTCAAGATTTTTAGCATGTTAAGCAGTGAAACAAATTGAACAATCCACTATAAGTTGGGAAATCACAAAACTTATGATATTCAAGATTTTTAGCAC